CGATCGTCTCGTGGCTTTCGACCCACCATGATCAGCATCACAAAAGCACTCAATGTCTGTGTGACCATGATTCTTGTACAATATCCCACGACCCGGGGATCCCTTCAAGTAGTGTAACACATGCTCTAAGGCTTCCCATTGTCGGACAGTTGGCGCAACCATAAATTGGCTAAGGACACTTACTGGATAGGTGATATCAGGACGGGTCACTGTAAGGTAATTCAACTTCCCAATCAGTCTCCTATACCTCTCTGGATTTTCAAATGGCTTGCTCTTAGCAGCCTCATCAGGATTTTCACATGGTATGCTACCATCAGCATCAAGCAGAGGATTATAGACCATAGGGAAGCTGGTCGGGGCAGCCCCTAGTTTCCCAGTTTCTTTCAACAGATCAAGAACATACTTTCTCTGAGTCAATAAGATGCCTTTCTTGCTCCTCATGACTTCAATTCCCAGAAAATACTTCAATGAACCCAGATCCTTCGTTTGGAAATGTGAGTTAAGGAACGACTTGAGAGATGAGATCCCCGAGGCATTGTTTCCTGTAATCACAATGTCATCGACATACACAACCAGTAGAATCATGCCAGCACTTGTTTGCTGATAGAACACAGAATGATCACACTTACTCTGGTGCAGGCCAAAGTTTTTCACAACAGTACTAAATCTGTCAAACCATGCCCGAGGACTTTGTTTTAAGCCATAGAGTGATTTCTTAAGGCGACACACCTTCCCACGCTCCCCCTGAGCAACAAAACCTGGTGGTTGCTCCATATACACTTCTTCAAGGAGATCACCGTTCAAGAATGCATTTTTGATATCTAATTGATGGAGATCCCAACTATAGGTAGCGGCCATGGAGATAAACAGACGAACCGAAGAGAGCTTGGCCACGGGAGAAAAAGTCTCAGAGTAGTCAATACCATACTTTTGAGCATAGCCTTTTGCGACAAGGCGAGCCTTGAGGCGTTCAAGTGTACCATCCGCCTTAACTTTAGGGGTCAACACCCACTTACACCCAATAGCTTTCTTTCCTGCTGGTAAATCTACTAAGGTCCATGTGCCAGCATAATGAAGAGCCGCCATCTCTTCTTCCATAGCAGTACGCCAACCCGGGTGGGACAAGGCTTCATGAAGGGACTTAGGTACTGAAATAGTATCTAAAGAGGCAACAAAGGCACGAGAAACAGAAGGGAGGTGGTTATATGAAACAAAAGAAGAAATAGGATGGGCACAAGTACGTTTACCTTTGCGAAGGGCAATGGGCAAATTAAGAGAGGGATCTGGATCTGGAACAGGAGGTGTCTCAGAGTCAATTGAGGGATCGGCATCTAGACCTGAGGCAGGGTCAGGCTCAGGGTGCATGATGCTTGCTGCAGGATCAGATGACGAAGCAGATAATGGTGGAGCAGAATGTGGCGCAACAGTAGGAGTAGTTTCCTTCAAACGTCTGGTGTAGACCCAAGACAAAGATGGTTGACCAGGTGCCAGTACGGGTGCTGGTGGTAAACTTGGACTAACAGAATATACCAGAAAGGTATCCTTCTCCGCCGGTGGAGAAGGCGCAGTGGAAGCATTAGGTGCAAAGTAGGCAACAAATTCCTGAAAAGTGACATCGGCTGAAACCAAATAACGATTCAAAGTAGGAGAAAAACATCGATAACCCTTTTGAACTCGAGAGTAGCCAAGAAAGACACATTTAAGAGACTTGGGATCCAATTTAGAGACTGTGGGACGCACATCTAGAACAAAACAAACACAGCCAAAGATCTTAAGATCAATAGGGAACAAAGCTTTGGAAGGAAAGAGAGTAGTGTAGGGAATGTTACCATCAAGGACAGAGGAGGGCATACGATTAATAAGAAAACAAGCTGTGGAGACTGCATCTGCCCAGAATGGTTTTGGAACCTGCATTTGAAATAAAAGTGCACGGGCCACTTCTAATAAGTGGCGATTTTTTCTTTGGCCACACCATTTTGAGCCGGTGTGTCCACACAGGAAGATTGATGAAGAATGCCATGTTGAAGCATAAAAGAGCGAAAGGATTCAGAAAAATATTCTTTAGCATTATCACTGCGCAAGGTGTGGACAAGCGTATTGAATTGAGTTTTAATTTCGGCAACAAAAGTACAAAAGTGAGAGAAAAGCTCAGAACGATTTTTCATTAAATATAGCCAAGTGGTACGGGAATAATCATCAACAAATGTGACAAAATATTTAAAACCACCTTTGGACTCAATTGGACACGGACCCCAAATATCGGAGTGCACTAACTCAAAAGGGGACGAAGCCCGTTTATTGACTCTAGACACTAACGGTAGACGATGATGTTTAGCAAACTGACACGACTCACAATCTAAAGACGACAAATGCTGAAACTGAGGATAAACCTTTTTTAAAGAGGATAAAGATAAATGACCCAAACGACAATGTGCTTCAAATGGAGTGACACCACCAGTACAAGCCACCGCACGAGACCCCTGATCATCAAGGAAGTAATGCCCGCCAGATTCGTAGCCCCTACCAATAATCTTCTTCGTCAAAAGATCCTGTATCAAGCAATGGTCAGGAAAAAGTAAGACCCAACAATTTAATTGGCGAGTAAGCTTGTTAGGGGACAAAAGGTTAAAAGCCAGATTTGGAACATTGAGTACAGATTTTAAATGAATAGAAGGAGTAGGTTTAACAGATCCAGATCCAAGGACACGAGAGTGGGAACCATCCGCAATGGTGATAGCAGAAGGGTTGGCATAAGAAGTATAGCTAGAGAAGAGATGACGGTTACCTGTCATGTGGTCAGTAGCACCAGAGTCTATGATCCATTTGTTGGAAGAAGAGACAAGGGCAGTAGCCTCATTACCTGTTGCACTAGCAGTGCTCACGGGGGGATTTACAGATTTCAATTGAGCATACTCGGCAGCTGAGATAGTAACCATGTCACTGGTTGTTGTAGCCACATGGGCAGAGCTCTGTCGTTGTTGTTTGTTTTGCAGCTTACGACATGTGCGTTTAGTATGTCCCGGTTCCTTGCAGTAATAACATATTACTTCCTTGGGCTCCTGATTACCACCTCCTGGTTTCAGACCACTTCGACTAGGGAGCCCTCGATTGTCATTCTGGCCTCGACTGAGTAATGCACTAGTAGGTGGAATGGGAGCTGAGGAAGGGTTTTGTTCAGTTCTCAGTACACGAGAGAAAGCTTCTTCAAGAGAGGGGATGTCAGCTCCCGACAAAATTTGTGATCGAGCAGTCGCATATTGAGATGGTAGTGCAGTCAGAAAACTCATGGTGGCCATCTGCTCGCGGTGAGACACATTAACTTTCCTGTCATCAGAAATAGGCATAAGAACATTGAGCTCTTCATAGGTGCTTTTAAAGTCCATAAAGAAGTTTGTGAGGGAACGGTCAACGAGCATCTCGGACCGATAGAACGATCTGCAGACCTCGTAAATACGAGAGATGTTGTTCTTTCCTGAGTATAAGAGGGCCAAATAATCCATTAGCTCTTTAACAAATTCACAATGAGTAATAGAAGGCATGATCTCACTGTCAATAGAGTTACGAAGTTGTAACAGAAGTCGTGCATCATCTCTTAACCATGACTTGCGAGAGGCATTCTTTTCATTAGGAGGATTGTCAGTCAAGTGATCTTCCTTCTCAATACTCCGAAAATAAATACGAATAGTCTTACTCCAATCCAGGTAATTTTTTCAAGTTAGTTTGTGTTCAGTAATCTTAGTGACTACTGGAACCACCTCAAGAACAACAGATTTGTTATCACCCATTAGGATAATAATGATCACAACAACACTAATCAGTCAAATGGATCACACTAGGGACCACAAAATAAAAAATAGATCAGAATTCCACAAACCAGAGCACCAACGCTTTCTCAGGAAGCCAAAAAATTGCTCTGAATCACAACAAATAGTGGGACCCACGAAGTATAAGTAACAAGGATGGGTCGGGGAACAACAGAAGACGCCGGAAACCGAGAGAGGACGCCGGAAAATGACAGACGACGGCGGAAAACACTGCAAAACGCGACGGCTCGTGAACAGTGCACGGACGGGGTGACGGCGCGTGAAGGCCACGCTCTGCTCGGACGGCGATGAGACTCCGGTGGTTGGCCAATCGGAACCCTGCGACCTCCCCTGACCGGCGTGTGTGGACTGTAGATGGCGGGAGAACAGACCTCTGGTAGCGTGTGAACAGTGCACGGATGCTAGTGAACAGTGCACGGACGCTGGTGGCCAGAAAAAAAATTTCTTCTAACCCTAGTAAATTGGCTCTGATACCATGTAATTTAGAGAATGAAAATTGTGTATTTTATTGATACTTCGATTGGGTATTTATATACAATAGAGGAGCCTAGGTATTAATGGCTCATTAATATGAAATCATATCACATCATATCCTATATACTAATTACAGGATATTTACATATCTTATAATATCTCCTACAATATCTTTACACCCCTAATGGCCAGTATCAACCCAGTGCATGTAAGTAGCTTCAAGAAATATAATACTCCTCCAGTCCTAAATATAAGACTCATTTTATAATGCAATTTACACTACAAAATAGGTCTTATATTTAGAACCGGAGGGAGTAATATTTCATATATCTTTTAGAAATGTGACGTGTGTCATAGCCCATATCAGTCAAATACATGTTCGTCCATGTCTTCTTCAATAGTGACAAATTGGTAACAGACACAATAAAGGTTCAACATCTTAAGTCAGGAGCAGCGATATTATGAATCACCAAAGTTCAAGATCAAGCTCATGGTGCTGCACAGCTACAGAGGTTCAAATAACACAGCCAAAACCAACCCACGACTAATATACTAGCACATTTCCTCAATTAGTATACATATGCTTAAGAGTTAATAAATCTAATTAAATAATTAAATAAACTATAAAAAAAGAAAAAACAAAGTTATGATACGCCACAAGAAAATATTGTAACAAGAAGAAGTGAAAATACATCAGACATATGATGCAAACAGAACATGGGCAATTGCAGTCAGCTGTTATAAACTCCACAAAGTTTAATTGCAAGAAACAAATCTGTTGAATATTACAGCAAATTTCATCACAAAAGTGAGTATCAACAGTCAAATAATTCTGAAGCGAAGTATCTGACCTTAACCTCTTGTGAAAATCTCATCTAGTAGGTCCTTTGCCTTATCATTGTCACCTCTTTCCAAAAGAGGTCTAATAATTATATCAAAGGTTACAGCATTAGGTGAGCATCCATTCTCCTTCATTGTAGAAGCCAAGGTCTTAACCTCATCAAACAAGCCCTCTTTACAGAGTCCATTCATCATTGCAGTATATGCTCGGACATCCAAAGGATAGCCATTGACCAAAAGATATTGAAAAATCTGTCGCGCATCATTTAATCTACCAGCGTTGCACAAAGCATTAATGAGTACAGTATATGTGCATGTATCAGGCTGAATTTCATGATCAACAATTTGCTGAAATAATGTAATAGCCTGATCAAGATGACCACTTTTGCACAATCCATCTAACAAGATACTATAAAATATTATATTTGGGGACTGACCTCTATCATACATCTCATAAATAATATCCTGCACATAGGACATTTTACCGGATTTGCACAAACCATCAACAAGAGAGCTATAGGTGACAATATTGGGAGTCAAATTTTTGCTCTTCATCTCTATAAAGAGATCCATGGCTTCATCCACCATCTTGATTTTACAGAGTCCATTAATTAAAATACTATAACTAATAACATTAGGAGCCAAACCACTCTGGACCATCTTGTTGAATAGATTTCTTGACTCACTAACATTATTAATCAAACAGTAACCATCCATTAAAGTGCTGTAAGTAACTACATTAGGTCTTATACCACACTTCATCATCAAGCCAACAACAGCTTCAGCTTTGGTAACACTCCCTTCTTTGCAAAATGCATCAACGAGTATAGTAAAAGTATGAACATTAGGGTTGATGCCTTCATAACTCATTTGATTAAACAACTTTGCAGCTTCTGACCATTTACCCATGACACAAAAACCACGAATAAGAGAGCTGTAGGTCACAATATCAGGAGACATACCATGATCAATCATTTTATGAAATAAATCACAGGCCTCAGTTATAAGTCTTTCTCTGGACAAGCCAACAATAATTGTATTATAAATCATAAGATTAGGCTTAACCGGCCCTCTCGCCATTTTTTGCAGTAATTTAAGAGCAGATCTTGTTTTCTCCATCTTGCATAGTCCATTAACAAGTGTGCCATAACTGACTACATTTAACTGAAACCCTTTTGCTATCAGATCATCATGAAAATCCAAGGCTTTCCCAACCTCATTATTGATACAGAGGCCCTTCATTACTGTAGTCAGAGTAACCGTATCTGGCCGACAGCCTATCTTAAGAATCTTGCCTAAGGCAGAGAAAGCAAAAGTCATCTGACCCACATGGCAGTAACAGTTAATCAAGATGCTCAGTGTAACCAAATCTGGCGTGAATCCCTTAGCTTGTGCTTGTTTGAAAAGGGAGATAACAGTTGGATGATGTTTCAACTTTGCAAGAGATCCTAAGATCTTATTAAGTTGAACTATAGAGGGTGGGGGGCGCACATAAAGCAAGCGATTGAAAGAGGAAAGAGCCTCTTCGATACACTGAGGATTTGTCGAGTTGGAATGGAACCGGAAGGGGAGAATTAGGGCATACGAAGGAGAAAGAAGGAACAAAGATAGAGACGACGCAGAGAACAAATCAAATTTGGGGAAGACATACCTTGAGGCTCCGCAAAAGATCATCTTTACCTTTCAGGTGCTTCAGTAGATTGATAGATGAGATGGAACGGGACGTACAACAACTCTGACGAATAACTCCTGCCAAAGTTCCGAAGCCTCTCTATTTTAATGATAGCCGCCCATTCAGCCATTTCTCACTCCAAAAGCATGTTTCAAAATTTTACAGTTTCGATGGAGTTTCATTTCATATAAAAAATAATAATTATCAATCAAAATTACAAAAAAAAATTCAAAATTTGTAAATGTCAAATTAAAAATATTAATAAAAATTTATTATCATTTACAAATTCAGTGTTATTAATACTAAATCAAGTATTGTTAGTAAATCTCATTTTGGGATTTAATAATTCTTAATTTTTTTTACTGTAAAACTTGTTATTAAAAACTATTTAATTCTCATTAAAATTTTATAATAATTATTTTTTTCTTAAGATTTTATTATAATTATCCCAATAAAAATACTTTTTATACATATAATATCATTATCTTTTTTAAATAATAAAATACATTCTAATTTTATTTCAATTTTAATCATATATGAGAATTATTTGCTCTTCCAATCTTTAATATATGACCTAATTGTTGAGTTTGTTTTGGTTCTAAATATAAGACCTATTTTTTATATTTATCAATTTTCTCTAAGTCATCCCTATGGATATTCTCTCAACCATAATCAAGTAGAAGATAGAGAGGGAGTATTAAGAAAGATGATTATGGTGTTTTAGGAAAAACGTGTCATATTTTTTATAGTTACTAATTTATATAACTTTTTTTAATTTAATCAAATTAGTTAAATAGATTTTATATTAAAAATTTGGACCAATTAATGAGCAAGGCCCAACCAGTATTCCAGTTCCATCCCACGAGTACCAGCTATAAATTGATAAATTCCAAAATATTAAGAAAATGAGCCGCGTGATGCGCTGAAAGCGTTTGGAGGGCGCCCTTTAGCTTTTAGGATGGCGGCTGATTACTGTGACGGTGCTTTTTTGGATGGCATTAGCACTCTTTAAAAATAGCTCAGTAACAACAAAATAAATATATATAAAAAAAAAAAATTTGTCCAAACTTACTTATAAATACTTAATATAAGTAGTTTCAAACAAGCTTAATAATGATTGATCGTCGCTACGATTTTTCTTCTAAGCATAAAAAGAGAGAGACACCATGGGTCTATTTTTTTTTGGCCTGAAAACAGAATGGGTCTTTAAGCACAATGTTTTTGGAAATATGAAGAAATCAACAATAACATAATCTTAGATTAACAAAGATAACATATATTATTTCTGATTTTTAATACAAGAGTTAACTGAATATTAGATTTCGTTCTAGATATAAAATGTTAATATACTTTATCTCTTAAGTTTATAATATTTTCTTAAAAATATTCTTATTGATTGTAAGGGATTCTTATCCATGAAGAGTTGTAATACACTGATAGCTTAAGAAAGTCAACTCATATTTATTATAATTAACTAATTTAATTAATTTTTTTAATTTTTTAAATTAATTATCTAGCTCTTATGTTTTGAATGAGAAATTGTATATATTATCTTCGATAATAAGTAAGAATTGTGGGAAAAAAAGAATTTGATAAGTAAGAAAGCTTAAACCTCATTATCAAAATCTTTTCCAATGGCATCAAACAAATTGAGACTTTAATTTGGGGTTTAAATATTAGCTTTAATAAATCAATTATGACAAAAGTTAATATATTTTAAATGATATTAGCTTAAAATATAAAGAAATAACCATTTATAATAATAAAATTTAATAATTGAATTCAAAGAAAAGTAATATATAATTATAAAAGCAATATTCATCAATACTCCATATTTTTCAATTAATATATATTTGTACACTTATTTTACAATTCTTAATCTTAAAATATACATACATTCATACATAGATGTATCTTGCCTATTTTCCCCCCTTACTCGATGCTTATTAATAATACATGCATGAATCATAGCTTACAAACACAAATTAAAATTTAAAAATAAAAATAAACAATTATATGATAGATTCAATTAGTTGATCCTACAAACTCTTCTGGTTCTTAATATAGGACCTAATTGTTGAGTTGATTTTGTTTCTAAATATAATATCTATTTCTCATATTTATTAATTTTTCCTTAAATTACCCCTATGGATACTTCCTCAACTATAATCAAGTATAAAAGAGAGAGGAAAAATATTAAGGAAGATGACTATGGTGTTTTAAAAAAAACATGTCATATTTTTTATAACTAACTAACTTACCTAACTTTCTTAATCTAATCAAATTAGTTAAATAAATATTAAATTAAGGACCGGAAGAGTAATAGTTTTGCCGGTTGATACTAGCTTGCCGTTGTTTTCTTGACTCTTTGATTTTATCACCTGTTCACACTGAACATGCGGCTAGTACTTGATTCAATCGGTCACAGTGGAATCTGGTTGTTGCAAGGCTTTGTCTTAGCGGTTTATGAATGGGTTTTGGAATTTCCAATATCTAGGATATTTAGAACCTCCAATACTTGGTTAGTTTCAACATTTTTTCGATGAGAGAATTCTACCCTTGGAACCTTTTGGAATTTGTCGTTTGAGTTGTTGCGTAGAAGGTGTATGTTGGAATCTCCAAAAGGCCCCATGCATGTAGATGATTCCATCGAGGACCTATAAGTTCATTAGCAGCCACTTAGAGGTCCATCTCTTGGAGTACTACATCATTTGCTCCTGATCTGTTTTTCTTTTTCGCTAGCTGTGTTTCTCTAATAAATTGCTTTGACTCATGTCTATGTTGGTAATTGGCTTACTCACCTTGCTCCTCAGTTCATGGTTACTGTCGTTATGGTTCTTCCAACTTCTAGGTATTTACATCTGCATTTTATTATCCTTAAAGACATAAATGTCTATCATGGCATGATTTAACGACTAGAGTTGTAGTTCTCTCATCTTGCTTTTGTTACTTTGGATGGTCATGACTAGGTGGTATTGAGGATTACACCAATTCCTCTTCTCACCTTATCTAGTGCTACGTGGTTCAAGATTGGGTTTGAAATTGCAGGACTTTTAGTTATTTGTGTTTTCGATTTCTTTCCACCTTTCTTTTTCATTTTGTTAGCAGCCCTTTTTTTTTGGTTTTCCTTTCAATTGCATTGAGTTGGCTTACTTGGGCTTAGTTGGATTTTGCTTAGACATTATAATAGGCCAGCCTTTTAAGTTGTAATGGTTTTAATTATTTGAATGGATTTGTTGGTTGATATTAAAAAAAAAAAAAAGGCTAGCTCATATTAATTTTCCCATATTTAAAACTTCCTATATAATAATTTACAATCCATGCTCATCTTTTTCTCAAAAGGATATTTAAATGAAGAGTTAAAGTGCAAATCTATTTAAGAAGTATTTCACAAAGGACATCAGAACTCTGTGAACTTTTTTTAAGTACAATGATGCAGCTTTGCAAAACGACATCTATAGTTGGATTCAAGAGCTCTCATACATTTGAATACCAGCAATGGACATTCAGGCTAAACGACGGTGATCCTTCAACAAAAACTTCAACATTAGTTTCAAACTATTTTTTATTTTATAATTTTAAAGCTGTATATAATTTTTTATGCACTTTTTAAAATCACTTACAGATAAAATAATTTTTTCCCAAGGATGAGGCATAGGAGAACGCAATGTATAATATATTTTTCCATATGGCTATATGTTACCAAACTCAAAGGAGCCAATTTTCAAGGGGTCAGAAAATTTATGGCCTTGTTTGATTATGTTATCATTTTTTTCTTTAGAGTAGTTTTATAAAATTGTTTTTAAGAACAAGTTTTCCAGACAAAAAACAACGAAAACTGTTGCGATGATTGTCCTAAAAAATAATATTTGAAAACAAGAAATATAAAAACTTGTTTGAAACAATTGCCCTTAAAAATAACTTGGTGAACAAAAATGAAAACGAACTGTTTGATTCACTTATTTTATATAATTGATATTGGCATTATTTTTTATAATTACATAATATCTTATTATATTGACAAACTAATTTAACAAAAAAAATCTAATGGAATTATCAATAAATAACATAACAATGATTTTCTGCTAACAAAAATAACATGGTTAAAATTTTCTTTGCCTTAATGCTATGAAACCAAGGAACAAGAAACCCGATCGGATATTAAACTGGTCGAGAAAGTGGTTTAAGAATTAATGGGTTAGATCGAGGTCAGACCGGGATCAAACCGGTCATATTAAAATAATATAATTTAATTGACAATAACAAAACATAACAATATTAATAATTATTTGTAACGAAATATAAGAAAATATAATAATAATTTAGTTACAACAAATAACAAATAATTGAAAATATTATATTTGATATAAAAATATTTGATTATAAATTTTTTTATATTTGGCTATAGAATTTTTTTTAATCAGAATAATATTTAAAAATATGTCTAGATAGCAAAAGTATTACATGTGTGATATAATAAAGACACTCTATTCATTTCTCTGTTTTTTTTTTTGCCGGACTTTTCTTGTTTTTGGATTATACAACATGTATTTACATGCCATGAGAGATAAAAAATTAAATCAGATATGAGGCTTCGAAAAACAAAAAGAATGGAGAGAAAAAGCTATGCTACGCCTGCAAAATAGAGGCTATACATAGGGTTATTGACACTTTACTCTGCAGTCTGCACCAAGCCTTTCTTTCGTTGTTTTCCAAGACACAATAGCTTTCGTTTCTTCCTCCTCCGTCTTCTTTTTTTGAGTTTTGCTCTTTCATTTTTCTCCTCTCCTTCCACCTCTTTCTAAAAAACTCACTTCTTCTTCGATGGATTTCAGCAAGCATCAAAACGCAGCACAGACGTGGCTCTCTATAGAAACAATAGGCAAGCTTCTCTCATTCTCTTTGCCTCTCCCTCTCGTTCTACTCTTCCTCCTCCTCGTTTTCGTTCCTTTTTCTTGAATCTGATATGTTTTGTCTGTGGCTCTCCTCCTTTTGCCTCTTCTTCCTCCATTGGAACACGAAGAAAAGAAAAAACCGGACAACCTAAGTCAGCCGGCGGTTAACCGGTTAACACCGGTTTAACCTGTTTGTTACCGGTTCATTTCATGTCCGGTCTAACAAGCAAACCAGACCGGATTGAGACCAGTTCATCGGTTTTCTGATTGAACCAACCGGTCCGGTTCGGTTTTTTACCTTGTATGAAACTGTCTCATGTATCCATGAATTTAAATTTTCAAGATAAACCCAAGCCAAATTAATCATAAAAGAAAATCATCTATATCGAAGTCAATGCATGCAGCAGAATTAAAGTAATCAGGACTCATCAAGGAAAAGGGAAATGATATGAAGAGTTTAAGCTCTCTACTGTCTGATTGCATCCCAGCAATCTCACCATTCACTTTCCTTATCTTCTTACCTGCATATAAATACTTTCTCAATCCCTTCCCATTTCATTCTCTTCACCCATGCTTCTGCTTGAACCGCACCATCTCTCAGATCACGCTAGCCTTGGTACAAAAGCACTATGGTTTTTGTCACCAAGTACTCCACCATGTACTTCACACTCTCGATAACATTATCTTTCATTGCAACTCCTACAGTATCACTAAATCCTTCAAACACACGGATACACTCACCCCTAATGCCTTCTTTACCTCACTGGAATTCATGAACTCAGTGACCAAATCAGAAAATAAGGAGCTTAAAACTCTCCACAGTCGAGCACCAAGAAAAATCAGAATCCCTTATTCACATCAGAAAATCATTCAATTATTGTGAAAAACCTGTCATGCCAAAGGAACTAAGTACAGAACATTCCTACCAAAATGACTATTTCGTATAGAAAATTCATTACCAGATTCAACAAAACCAAAGGTGGAGCATGACAACAAACTACATAAACCTAAAGTATGATCAGCTTAAGAGACAACCTCTTGCTTAGTTGAAGCCTTCAACTATACCAATTCACTCTTTTATAATCTCAAGACATCAAATTATAATAGCCTACCCTTTTCTAAACCTTCAAATCAAAATTTATGTTAGGCATTCACAAAATATCTCCAAAATCCTACTAAATGGCATAGAGAGATCGAAAAAAGTTTGAAGCGGAGTTTTTGTTAAAAAGGTGCATTTGACTGTAACTCTCATTCCTCTCTAAAATCAAACATAGTACAAGAATTGTGTGAGCCATTAAATAGCCGTCATATACAAATTTATCAAACATGCTTCAAACTAATTCATCAACGAAAGCCAATCTAAAGCGAATTCTATTTGATCCTCTCATGGTCAATCGAATCCCCCCCCCCCACACTAAATATGACTATTCGCTTAAACCCAAAACACAGTCAACAAAAAGGAAACAGCTATAGCAGCAGTAAGAAAAGCAGCAGCAAGAAAAGCAGACTGCCCTATAAATTCCTCCACCATTTTTTGGTGGACATTCAGTCAAATATTATAAGTGGATATCCAAATACAGCGGTAGTGCATAAAATGGTTAAGAAGACACGGGAAACTTCCTTAAATTAATCAGACTGGAAGAGAGAGTAGAGACTTAGGCCCCACCAACTGCTGAGAACTGAGGAAGGAGAATGAGAGATTGGAGACGGGAGACGGCGAGGAAGTGAGGAAATGAGGAAGCAGACTGCGAGCTTGCTAGAGACGTGGAGGGAGTGAGGAGATTGCGAGCAGCGAGCAGACTAGAGAGTGGGGACGACGAGCTGAGAAGGGACGCTTCGGCAAGAGCACAAACACAGTTGGGATAAGGTCGAGCTGAGAATTCTCCGGATTTTCTAATACAAAATCTAAGGAGGGGGGGGGGGGGGGGAGTCTTTTTATTGTTCAGAACAGATTTTTTTTGCCTGATTTTTTTCAAAACAGATTGCTATTAACAAAAAACAGATTCCTATTTTTTTTTTAAAAAAACCTAGCCAAGAATAAATTACAGAAAAAATTACTTTTCTAGAAAATACAAAATTGTTTTCAAGATTAAAAAAAAAATCAAACAGGGCATTTTTAATTTTATTCTTATCTTATTTTTTAGGTGCACCTAGCATTTCTTATTTTTGTAGTACTCCTCCGGTCCTTAATATAAGACCCATTTAACTAATTTGATTAAATTAAGGAAGTTAGGTAAGTTGGTTAATTATAAGAAAAGTGACACATTTTTCCTAAAACACCATAATCATCTTTCTTAATACTTCATCTCTCTCTTCTATTTGATTATGGTTGAAGGAGTATCCATAGGGGTAGTTTAGAGAAAATTATAAATATGAGAAATGGGTCTTATATTTAGAACCAAACCCAACTCAACAATTGGGTCCTATATTAAGGGGCGGAGGAGTACAAATTCACTGACAATTTTTTTTTTTTTACAATTTTACTGATTAATTTAATATTGGGTAAGATTGCTCCAAAATAAAAAGAAGAGAGTGAAGCTTTTCCAAGAGGAAGCTAATGAGAAATAAGGTCGAAGATAAAATTGTATATTTGTTCTTTTCAAAAGCGTCAAGTTAAAAAAAAAAAAAAGATCAATACTCTCATTCTCAGTTCACATCTCATCTTTTTCAAAAATTTCTAATCCCACCTAATTATTTTTTTCAAAATTAAACTTACTAAAAAGTTTTCCCCCCAATCAAATTGGGGTAAAAATTAGTAGAAGTTAAATATTGAATACATTTTAATTTGATAATTTTACAGCAAATAATAATGCACATAACTATGAAAATCAAAGTATATATTGGCATTCATGTTTTTAATGTCCATAAGATAGACAGCATTCTATCTGATTTTAGAATTTGTTATCCACAAGCATACTTAAATATAAACAATAATTTATTTTAGCCACAAACAACTTTATTTTATTTTCTTATAAATTACTTTTAAATTTGTTAGCATGTGCAAAATTAAATTTAGTTTATTTTACAACATTATAGATCATATTAAAAATACAAGCAACAAAATATTCAATTTATAATTTGTTATTCTATGTATGTTAAAAATTTTAAATTAAACTTTTCTTCCGTTCCATGTCTCACACTCGTCTTTACAATATGTTTTAACTCCACGCACTTGAAGTCATTGTGCAATCCCTAAAATAACTTCTTATACTTTTTTCTTGTTAAAAAATCAATTACATGAAATGAAGAAAAATATGCAACTGAGAGAGAAAACTTGTACTTTTTCCCAATTTTTCATTGAGTGCCTATGTATTTTTTTCTTAATTAATCTTTACTTTTATTTAATTTTATTCGATTGGCATTGTTAGTATCTGCACAAGTGCTAACAGAACAAAGTTATATATGTTGATGATACTAATAGAGCAAAATTTTAAAAAAAAATTAAGAGAAAAAACAAACAAGTACCAAATTAAAATTCAAAAGAAAATATAAATACCTATAAAATGGTTTTTTCCAACCAATTTTTTTATACCAAATTTTCCAAATAAAATTGGTATAATAAAGTTTAGGAGATGGAGAATTAATAAAACATCAATTTCATACATATATATAGGGAGGGAGAGAGAGTGAAGAAAATATAACAGAGAATAAATGACTTTTTGGCCGTTAAATATCACAAACATCCTCACATAAAAATTCATAATAAAAAAAAGTAACTTTCAGTAAATAATCATTATTAAACAAAACTATTCAAGTCCAAGAGTGTGCGTGCAAGAGACATGTCAGGGGAAGGAAGTATATAAACAGGCATCATTCACCATAACATGCAACATTTTCATTCTCCATATCTCCTTCACCACAACAAACTGAATTTTGCAAATATCAATTCAAGAGATCTATTAAAATTTAAAATTAACATAGCACCACATGAGTATCAAAAGACCTAGCCAACAAACATGACGATCATAGCCAAACATCCAAATTTATGGGCTTACAATTATGATTTTTCCTATGTTGTCCCTATTGATTGCGCCGATTAATGAGGATCTCCATCAATAAGGATGGTTCCCGATGTATATTATTAAAGACAATTTTTTGAGAAAACCAACAAACACTTCTTACAAATAACAAACTAATTTTCTTCATGTTTGTAAATTAATTATCAAGCTTCTACATTTAAAACCAGGAGGAATAACACAAAACTGTGCATTACTGGTAATGTTTTTTGTTTTACTTTCCGCTAATGTCTTCTTTTAAACGTAAAAATACCCCTAATGGCCAGTATCAACACAGTGCATGTAAGTAGCTTCAAGAAACACAATAATATTTCATATCTCTTTTAGAAATGTGACGTGTATCATAGCTCATATCAGTCAAATACATGTTCATCCATGTCTTCTTCAATAGTGACAAATTTGTAACAGACACAATCCATAGAAAGGTTCAACATCTTAAGTCAGGAGTAGTGATATTGTGAATCAGCAAAGTTCAAGATCGAGCTCATGGTGCTGCACAGCTACAGAGGTTCAAATAACACAGCCAAAACCAACCCACGACTAATATAATAGCACATTCCCTCATTTAGTATACATATGCTTAAGAGTTCATGAATCTAATTAAATAAACTATAAAGAAAGAAGGAACAAAGTTACGATAAGCCACAAGAAAATATTGCAGCAAGAAGAAGTGAAAATACATCAGACACATGATGCAAACAGAACATAGGCAATTGCAGTCAGCTGTTATAAACTCCGCAAAGTTTACTTAGAAGAAACAAATCTGTTGAATATTACAGCAAATTTCATCACAAAAGTGAGCATCAACAATCAAATAATTCTGAATCAAAGTATCTAACCTTAACCTCTTGTGAACATCTCATCTAGTAGATCCTTTGCCATATCATTCTCACCTTTTTCCAAAAGAGGTCTAATAACTCCATCAAAGGTTACAAAATTAGGTGAGCATCCATTCTCCTTCATTGTAGAAGCCAAGGACTTAACCTCATCGAACAAACCCTCTTTACAGAGTCCATTCATCATTGCAGTATATGCTCGGACATTCAAAGGATAGCCATTGACCAAAAGACACTGAAAAATCTGCCACGCATCATTTAATCTACCAGCTTTGCACAAACCACTAATAAGTACAGTATATGTGCATGTATCAGGCTGCATTTTATGATCAACAATTCGCTGAAATAATGTAATAGCCTGATCAAGATGACCACTTTTGCACAATCCATCTAACAAGATACTATAAAATATTATATTTGGGGCCTGACCTCTATCATACATCTCATAAATAATATCCTGCACATAGGACATTTTACCGGATTTGCACAAACCATCAACAAGAGAGCTATAGGTGACAATATTGGGAGTCAAACTTTTGCTCTTCATCTCCATAAAGAGATCCATGGCCTCATCCACCATCTTGATTTTACAGAGTCCATTAATTAAAATACTATAACTAATAACATTAGGAGCCAAACCACTCTGGACCATCTTGTTGAATAGATTTCTTGACTCACTAACATCATTAATCAAACAGTAACCATCCATTAAAGTGCTGTAAGTAACTACATCAGGTCTTATACCACACTTTATCATCAAGCCAACGACAACTTCAGCTTTGGTGACACTTCCTTCCTTACAAAATCCATCAGCCAATATATTAAAAGTATAATCATCAGGGTTGATGCCTTCAAGTCTCATTTGATTAAACAATTTTGCAGCTTCTGACCATTTACCCATGACAAAAAGGCCACGTATGAGAGAGCTGTAGGTCACGCCATCAGGAGCTATACCGTAATCAATCATTTCATGAACTAAACCACAGGCTTCAGTGATAAGCCTTTCTCTGCAAAAGCCATCAATAATTGTATTATAAATAATTAAATCAGGCTTAACCGGCCCTCTAGCAATTTTGTGGAGCAATTTAACCGCAGCTCTTGTTTTTCGCATCTTGCATAGGCCATTGACGATTGTGCCATAGCTAACTACATTTAACTGAAACCCTTTTGCTATCAGATCATCATGAAAATCCAAGGCCTTCCCGACCTCATTATTGATACAGAGGCCCTTCATTAGTGTATTCAGAGTAACCGTATCTGGCTGACAGCCTATCTTAAGAATCTTGCCTAACGCAGAGAAAGCAAAAGCAATTTGACCCACGTGGCAGTAACAATTACTCCCTCCGTTTCTTATTATAAGAGACATTTGGTGCTTATGGCATGTTCCTATATATAAGAGACACTTAAAAGTTGTCTCTACTTTTTTGTGTTGATTTCCTATTTTGTCCATATTTATTGTCCCCAACTCACACTCTCTCTCCTTCCCACTTCTCTTTCTTTTAATAAATTACCACTGTTCTCTCTCCTTATTAATGAGGGTATTTTTAGGAAAAAAATTATATTTTAACATATTAATTGTTCTTAACTAATTTTAACTGTTTTTTTGATAAACGTAATTCGGTTATTTGTCTCTTATAATAAGGAACGGAGGGAGTAATTAAGATGCTCAGTGTTACCAAACCTGGCGTGAATCCCTTAGATTCTGCTTGTGCGAAAAGGGAGAGAGCAATGTGATAATGTTTCGTTCTAGCAACATATCCTAAAATCTTAGTAATGTGGACTATAGACGGTGGGGGATGGCTATGAAGCAGGCCATGGAAAGAAGAGACAGCCTCTTCAATGTTCTGAGGATTTGTCCAATGGGAATGGAGACGGAAGCGGGAAGTTAGGACATGTGAAGGAGAAAGACGGAATAAAGTTGGAGACGATGCAGCAAACAAAGGAAATTTGGAGAAGCCATACCTTGAGGCTATACAAAAGAACATCTTCAACTTTCAATCCGCCGATTGATTCAGTGAGGAGATTGACCAGAGGAGACAAAAAAAGCAGTCGAAGCCGGCTTAAAACCCAAAACCTTTCGTTTTTTTTTTTCTTTTGGCCAAAGCCGAAACTCTGTTCATCTTCTCTTTTTTTATGCAGCATATACGAACTTGCATCCTGGTATTCTGTTATCTGCTGCTGTTATTTTATTTAAACAAAGCTATTTTTAAAGAAAAAACAACTGTATAATCAATAATTAATGCGACTTCTCATCTTAAATTTTAAAGGTAAATGAGAAATTTATCTTGATCCTAAATTTAATATTCTAATTCATTTTGCCTTTCAAATTTTTAAAACAAATCACAAAAAATATCTGTTAAATTTTAAAAAGATAAATAGGTATTCTTATAACAGTTTTGACCATTTTGCAATGATTTTAACATGTCAAAATCTGTTAAAATTATTCTTACTAATTGCATATATCGCATCTAAAAGTAATAAGGATATTAAAAAAAAAGTAATAAGAATATTCTAGAAAAACAAACACACATTCTAATAAATAATTAACTTAACTATTTTTTTTTAATTTATTCAAATCAGCTATTAAACCCTTATATACTAAGGATTGGAGATAATAAAATCCAAGATTAAAGTTGAGTATTGATTTGGTTTTTTTGGGCGACAAGCCACAAGAAGAAAATTATTTCATATACATATTGAAATTTATTGAAATTTTGTTTTTTCTGCCAACGAAAATATATATTTATAAGGTGCAAAGTCGTACAAATAAAAGAGGACAGATATATGAGGAAAGACTAGAGAAAGCTACGTGAACAAAAATATATCTTCTCTTTTTTTCGGCTCATACGAACTTGCATCTTGCCGTATGGTGATCTGTGATCTGCTGCTATTGTTGTATTTAGACGAAACTGTTTTTTGTGTTTTTTTTTTGGGGGGGGGGGGGGGAACACTGTATAATGAATGCTACCTCTTCCCTTAAATTTTAAAGGTCAACTAGTCCAACACCCGCACAACGCGCATGTGAATCCTGAGAAATATAGATAAAGGAAAATTGTTGCTGAACTAAATAACATAGATATAAAAGAAAATTCAAGAAAAGCAGTACTATTAAACACAAGTTTTTGGAGAGTAAACCATCAGATAAAAAGATTGTAGAAAACTTCTTTGAAAATCACGTTAGAAGTGTTGTTGGTGGCATTTATTTGCTCATTAAAGATCAAAATTTTGAGGCCTTCCTGTTTCTGAACTCTAGAACCACAACGTACAACTGACCAATCGTATGAAATATTTGCTTTATGCTTGCTATTGATTTGTGCGATTTTTACTTTTTTTTAATAAATTGTATTATTTATATTCACTTGCTATTCATTTTATTTTTTATATTCATGTATGAAATCAATGATAAATTTGTTCATAACCTATCATATATAGCACATATTTCTTATTTTAAGAATTGTAAGAGTTTTTTTAACCATGAATGTGCACTTAGAAAATCTAGGAATCACTTTTACAAAGTGAGAAAGTAAACATATATGTGTGTGTGTTTTTTTTTTATGCCTACTATTGACTCATGCGAATTTCACTTTTTTAAATAAATTGAATTATTTATATATTAGCTTGCTATTGATTTTATTATTATATTGATCTAAAAACTTAATGACAAATTTATTTGGAACATATCCTATATAACAAAGATTTCTTAAGAAAATTAGAATAAAGAACCTAAAGGAATAATATTTATTGAGGAAGATCTTAAAGATTATAAATACTTAGAAGGACCAAAAAACAAAATATAAATATACTAATACTAAACTACTCCTAACCAACTTCCTTATGCTCCCTCTAACCACATCTTAGCTACTTGACAATTGTTGGCTGAAAAAATAGGAGAGCACTCCATTGTCATCGATTTTCATTATTTTTTATTCAATCCATACATTATAAAAAATTTTACAATATAATTATGTATAATAATGTTCACTTAAATTTGATCATTAAAATTTAATAGTTTATGTTCTAAATTTTTTTTTACAAAAAGCTAAATTTTATATACAAATTTAATTTTATTTTTTATATAACATTAAATTAGGAGCAGTGAGATTAAATTTTTATAAAAATTTATGCATCTTAAAATATGGTATGAAAAATAATTTTTATTTTGATCTTGGTTAAAATAATAAAAATAATATATTTTTAATTTTTTTTGTAAATTTTATAATATGTTTGTCTATCTATATGTTTTTATCAACATTTTCACTCATTTACTATATCTTATTAGTTTTTAGAAATTACTTAATCTAATTTTTAGAAGTAATTAAATATATAATTTTTTGATTGTATTATATTTAATAAGGTGAACTTTTTTGAGGAAAAAGAGATGGAGATGAACAATTTGCCCTTACTTCAATGGCTGAAGAAAACTTTATTTTTGGTTAAAAATTTTGGGTTCTTTTTGTCTTTAGCTACTGATGAATAAAAACAAGAGAAAATGACAGATAAAGCCACTCTAATATATACAATTCCAGATTGGGTCCTGGAATTGTGGAAATGACAGATTGGGTCATTGACCCAATCTGTCATTTGCAAAATGAGGGCAAATAGACAAATTTGCCCTTATTTCAATTTTAAGCAAAAGGCACGGCTGAGTGAAGATGGAAACCGAGCAAGAGGCGGGAAGCAACGAGACAGTAGAGGAAGCGATTTTGGTCTGTGAAGAAGGCAGATTTCGGGAAGGGAGAAAAGGGCTGCCAGTCGCATGCGGTAGAAGAAGCAAATCCGATGGTAGAAGAAGAAGGGAAATTAGGGCATTGTCACTCATTTCTTTCCTTCATTAAGTCGCTGTGAAAGAATTTATACAGGTTCTCTCCATTCGTTTCTTTCTCGGCTTGAATAACATTGTTTCATTTCATTTGTAGTTAATCTGTTTTTCTGCGTATACTGTTATCGCGAGCGTTTGTTGATTCGGTTGGAAAATTTTTTGTTCTTGAAAAAATCCGAGAAAATGACACTAAGTTCTTTTAGCGGCAAGGTGGCGAGGTTGTTACAGAGGAAGTAATTTGAATATAGAGATTGCAGAACTGACGTTGTGGGGATTCCGAACTTTTTCTGGCTGTTGTTGATGAACTCACTCTTAAAGTGTTTTGATCATTATGAATGAGTTCTGATTTGCATTGTCTTGTGGGTATAATTTTTTCTATTAAAGGTTGAACTATTTCGTTTGATATGAATATATATAATTGTTCAATTGCGTCATTTTGCTTGGGCATCACTATTTTGGAAGTAGACAGACCCGTAGAACAGAGTATCTAAGGTCGTTCTTCTAAGTTAAGCATGGCTGCTGAGTGAGGGTGGAGGGAAATAATGTATCCTTGATTTTAGAGTCTACTATTTCTATGCACGTTGTAAAAACAATCAGTTCAAGCAAAAAGATTGCTAATTGGGTCTGCTTCTTATTAAGTCATCGTAGATCATGTATTTGAATTGTTGAGGATTTATTTTTGTATCTGGAGCAAAAGTCATTGAAATTGAACTGGTTTCCTGCATGTCTACAACTGGAGACGTTCGGTTTGTTCTCTTGTTATAGAAATGTTTGAATGGATTAGGTGATGATGGTTGTTGATGAAAATTGATGGCTATTGCAGGATAACAAATATGTCAGCCGATGAACAAGGTCCATCTAAACTTGTGAGGAGCGGGTTGCTTTTGTTTAGAATTGAGTTCATGAATAAGTGTAAGAAGAAGTTCAAGAATGTGACCCAATGCACTAAAGCAGTGACAAAGGCATGGAAAGAACTGCCTGAATCAGAGAGACAAAGATATAAAGATGAGGCAAAGAAAACAAGGCCACCAAAGGCAACAACGAGCAACTACCGGCTTCCTTTTCATTGCCATAGTGCACTAGGACAGTTCATTTCCTTGGCAGCGTATGTTAAGGACAACAAGGATCTGAAAGACGAGGTTCAAGCAATGGGGTTGTCAAGGTTGCTAGAGTTGAGACTTCGTAGACTCCCTCGAGACATTTGTGCTGCTATGATGCGTTCATATGATCCACCAATGCAGCAATTTCTCATTAGGGGAATGTCTAGAAAACTGGATGCAGTAGATGTGCAAATGCTCCTGGGCATACCCCATGTTGGGAGAAGAGAGGTGACATCTGAAGTTAGTGAGGACGACCCTACGTTTATAAGCCTTAGGCTTAATTATTTCCAGAAGTCTTATACAGATATTTTGAAGGTGATAACATCTGGACAAAAGAAGGGTGATGAATTTAAAATGTTGTTTATGCTCCACACACTCGGAACTCTGTTATGCCCCACTTCTAGT